GGCATTCCATTTACTAATGTAATAATATATTATTTTAAGATTCAATATGGAACCTTTAAAACGTTATGATCTATCATAACGTTCTTTGACGAAAAGATAATTCATTTTGTTATTATTTTTATTAAATTTACTACAATTATTAAATTTATCTTTCAGAAATAATTTTTCTATCCTTCAGATATGTCTTTCTTTAATGATTAAACATATATATATCTTCACATAAATAAAAATTAAATTAAATTATTCTTCCGATATTTAAAGAAAAATAAAATTTATCTGCTCTTTGAGATATCAAAAATAATATGCAAATGAATCATTTTTAGAAATCACCGATATATGCTAACGGATATGCTAACGATATCAAAACTGACCGATTACGAGGTCGACGGATAAAAAGCCGCTTTTAATTGCACACGTCGGGCTTTAATCGAGCGCGTAAGTTTAGCGTTGCGCGGTAATTCATCGTTGATACTTATCCCGGCATCGCGGTGCATCGTTGCGGGATTCCGGAGCGTTTTTTTTTTCCAACTGGTCGTGATAGGATCGAAGCGAAGAGCGGAAAAAGGCGCGACCGACCGACCGGTCCTAGGATTCTCCTGGAAGAGAGCAACCAGCCTCGCAGATCGCGCGACCGATGTCTCGGGATAGTTAAAATACTTTATATCAATCGATATCTCAAATTATTGATAAATATCGTTTGCGCTGAAGTGATATTTCACGCAAAGTTTTTAATAATTATGCTAACGAGAAATGTCGCATCCTCCCCGGCAGAGAATACCATTACGGGCAAATGGGCAGGTCGGGGCGCATAAAATGCGATGCGTCGACTGCAATACCGAGAGCAGCTTTGTTTCCAACCCTCCCCCGCACCCTCTCGCCGCTATCGTCACACCGAGCTAGAACGGCGGGGGCGTACTCGCCTCGAGTTTAATTGTAAATAGGTACACCATCGTACATTGTCGTCCGTGCGAGGCACCGTGTAAATATCTGATTCAAGGCGCGTCTAACTTATTGCGAGGCTGTATAGGTGATTCTGTACATAGATATACGTACGTATTATATGCGTGCATTGCGGAGGCAGCAATCTCCGCACGCGCGTACGTGCGTACGCGTGTGATCGTTCATTGATGCCACGAGAGTCGACGATAGGTATCGATTGAGGAGTTCACTCTAAAAGGGCATATAATAGTTCTGAGATGAAAAGAAAAATATTTTAAAAATTTATATTTTTTCCGAGACATCCATAAAACACAAATAGAAAAATAATCTTAAAAGATAATTGCTATAAAGAAAAGAAAGTTGTCATAAAAAATGAATAGTAATATAATTAATAGATTTTCTTCTTTCCGAGTGAACTCCATACAATTTTTCACGTGTTTCGAAAGAAATGCTTAGCATTACGTCTGCCTCGTGTTACCTGACTATTCATCTGTGTAGCTCTACTGCTCAATGAAAATTATTAGGATAATTGTAGATAATTATCTCGAAAGCGATTGTGGTTCTACTTATAATCGCCTTAAACGCGAGAGATCTCACGCTTAGCGCAAGAAAGCGCTCGTACGCGCTGATTAGAGAAATAAACAAATCGAAAAACGATAAAGTCAAATCGTGTAATATTTATTCAAATAAATGCTGTTTATATATCTAGCCGTCAATTTAATAATAATTACAATTGGACAAATCGCAAATCATTATCATCATCAAAGTAATAACGATAACAAATCAACTGCAACAATTACGATAACAACTAGTCATCTCGATATATCTATCGAGATACCCGGCTGATTACTAGCAACATTATCGCGAGCCAGGAATTTATAATCTGAAAGGATCAGATATTCGCGAATCACAATCGGCTCTCGCTTGGATCGACCGTCGCGACGCTTTTTTCGCCTCGAGTGCGAGATGGGACGCGTGACTGGAATAATCTCATTCGGTCGCGATTCAACTCGCGACGCACCTCTCGCGCAATTAAAGATATGCAAAAATCACGGGACAAATGGCGGCGGCCGGCCACCTCCACTTAGCAGTCAATCACAATTAAATACAATTTTGCGCGGACCGCGGGGCCCGGTAATGGCGCAAAAAGAGAGCAAATTGAAATCTCCTAGCTGACAGAATGATAGATGGTACCGGCCAGACGTGAGAAGACGCGAGAGAGCGACGGAGAGAGGCGTAAAGGAAAGACGAGAGAGGAAGAGAGAGACGGAGAAAGAGGAAGAGAGAGAGAAAGAAAAGCAGGACGAGGAAGATAAAGAGAGAAAAGCGGAGAAACAGTCTTTCTTCCATCCTCGCGATGTGAGAAAGCTCTTCCTCTCCGTTCCGCGAGGAGATTCTCCGCGAGGAAGAATGAAAACACAGAGAGAAGTAAGTCGGGAGCTGATGATAGCGCCACTACGAAGCCGATTTCTCTCGCTAATATCGCTAATCCTCTCCATCTGTTGAAGATGAGGATCTGATCTTTGCGCGGAGCAGCGGTAATTTATATCGATCGGAACGCGGAGAAAGAGATGAGAAGGAGCGAGAGAGAGAGAGAGAGAGAGATGGGGAAGCTCATTCTCTCTTCTATAACTGCGGTCATTATGGCAGCGCCGTTTAGAATCGCAGATTAGTTACGCGCACCTCGAAATAAAGCGCGATGATTATTCGCGATGATAAGCGGCGTATATATATATAATCATTTTAACATTATTTTCGATTCATACAAAGTTTGCGCTCGCATAAATAAAAGTCGCAAGCAAAGATATTCTTTCTTAAAATGTTATCAATATATATATATATATAATATTATTATTCAAAATATATAATTTTACATAAATAAATTTTATATAAATAAATGAGATAATGTTTTTCTCCGCAAAAGAAATTTATACACATGATTTTTATATTTTGCAAAATATAATATGACGCGCACGTATCCAGTACATGGCAATAAAAGAAAAATTCTATGCACCGCCGCTGTAATATAATACTTTATAGTTGCCACATTCCGCGTCCCATTATAGGACTCCGCGTTGTAATAGCAGTATTATAAAAGGAGACGATAAGTCGCGCTCATCCACCTGCTCGGTAATCAAATCGCGGGATTAAATTGCCCACGATTTCGCGTCTTCGCGCGTCTCAAAAGGGGAACTACTACTTGAGGGGAGGAGATACGGTATCTCTCGGGACATTATCATTCAATTGGCGCCGCTACCGTCCACGGATAAATCACGTGTAATTAACGGCGAAACAACGAACGAACACCAATTAATTTCGTTATAAACAACGGGGCCTTTGTCCACCGTGCGAATCTATTTTCCGCGCCGGCTTCCTCAATTAAGACGATAGAGATTTATTTGATTCGCGCGTCGATCGAGCGATGCCGAAGAAAAAAACCAAAGGGGGATGGTGGGCTAATTATTCATCGGCTCATTCACACGTATAGTAAGGCCCCACTGGGCGAAACGAAGAAAGAGATACAAACTGATAAAGACAGGCGTGAGGCAAAGAGAAGTAGAGAGAAGAAAGATGTCGACGCGAAAGAAGGAAATATCTTAAGTAATATCAAAGTGCGAGAGGTCGGATACGCGATAATGGCAAATCAGACCCACATGTGTGGGCCCCCCCGTGGATCCCCCCATATCCTGAGCCTGTGCGCGATGCAACAATATACGCGAACGCTAATCAGTCGACGCGCAACGTCTTCATCTACGCCGGACGCGCATCAGACGCGCGCCTCTCGTCCCTCTATCAGCACGATTTGTCTTCCGTCGCGGTTTAATGCGGCTCCAAGGCCAAAGTCCCAAGGACAAAGTCCCGCGGCCGAGCCTGGAAGCGGGAAATTGAAGTTGCGACAGAACAAGCCGGCCCTTATTACAATAATCTGTTAGCGCGAACAACAGCGAGCAATAATATCGCTTTTTTTACGACTTTTTCGAAACTTTATTCGGCGATTTTCAAACAGCGTTTGACCATTTTTCAAGGAAAGGTGTAAATTACCGAATTATAATAATTATATTTTGTTCTTATAAATAGTTTAAGGGATAGTTTATATATTTATGCGAATTACGATAATGGAGCGTTTAGCGTGAGATTTCTGTTGCATTTAACGCCAAGTTTTTGCGCCGCGAGTGATTAATCATACTTGAAACGA